AGTGTGTGTCTCTTTAGCTGAGTTTTGTAGGGCAAGAGCCTTACAAAGATTTGAGGTGAAAGACTTCATAAAATAGTCCAAAATCCTAAAGGGAGGGCTTTGACCCCTATTTCTGTGCAGTAGAGGCTCACCTTGTTCACAGCCTGCAGCCTGGGCTGCACTAACTGGGCGGCTGGTCTCTCGTTTGCTGTTTTTCAAGGTGCCTGGCTGGGACATGCATGAGTGATGCAGCTACCCTGCACGAGCCATCCTTGTCCTGAGCGGGGAGCTGGGAGGAAGACGCCCTCTGTGCTCATGTCCAGGAGGGTGAGTATCCTGGTGAAGCTGCATTTCAGTATTTATGACTGTGACAAGGGGGAAAAGCCAGTACACAGAAAGCCTTACTGGTTTACTTTAAAACTTCCCAAGTGCTTTGTCTTACTGTGTTTACAGGAGTTTCTTTCTTGATAAAACACACGGCATAGAAAGGGTGTGCTATTCTTAAGTAGGAAATCTCTGTTTGATTGGGATTTTAGCCTGGGATTCAAACCCTGAGGTTTAACCCTTTAAAGTGTGTTTGAAAATGTCCTGTAAAAGACAGAAGTCCCTACTGTGCTTCGGGCAGAGAGGAGCTGAGAGGAGGCTTGTGCCGGAGCTGCTTGGTGGCCCTCCTGCCTTGTCGCAGCCCTGCCCTGGGTTACTGCGTGGGCAAATACTCTTAAAGGCAGGTCCTGCATAGGCCAGGCTGCCACCTCCTTTATGCATCCTCATTGCTTACAGAGGCAATGGTATTTCTGCTCGTCATAGCATACATTTGGCACGTTACTTGCCCTGGTTGCGTTTGGAGTGCAGGGCAAGGTTTGGGAGAGATTGCTTGCTCAATGTATTTACGTGAGAGACCCGGTGTAAGGTGAAGACCATGTGCTGTGTTGTGCACCAGCAGGAGAACCTGATATGAGGTCCCTGTGCCAGGCCCTGCAGTGGGAGAACGAGAGGCAGCTTGTCAGCCCAGCGACTGAGGAAAAACTGGGGCGCTTTCGAGGGGAGCCATGTTCCTGTTTTTCTCTATCTGTTTTTGGTGAAACAAATATGCCCCTCAGCAAGCAGCCGACTCCTGCCCTGACAGCAAGGTGTCAGCCCTGCAGGTCCCTGGGCTGGAGCCAGAGTCCCCAAACACCTCCAGTGCTGAATCCCTGCTTGATGCTCCCGGGGAGCAGAACACTGCAACCCTCCATGACCCTGGTTTTGATGTTCCCACACAGCATGCAAGCAGGCAGGCACCTGCACATGGGGAGTTTGGAAAAGCCATTTACAGGGTGATAAAGAGGCTACATGTTTAACGGTTAAATAAGATAAAAGACTTTATATACTAATATACAGCATTCTTGTGGATTTACAGGGTGATAAAGAGGCTACATGTTTAATGATTAAATAAGGTAAAAGACTTTATGTACTAATATACAGCATTCTTGTGGAGCTTTGTTATCTCGTGGTCTGTGATAATGTGCATATATGTATGAATCCTGTGTTCAGTTTTGGGCCCCTCACTACAAGAAGGACATTGAAGAGCTGGAGCGTGTCCAAAGAAGGGCAACGAAGCTGGTGAAGGGTCTAGAGCACAAGTCTTATGAGGAGCAGCTGAGGGAGCTGGGGCTGTTTAGTCTGGAGAAGAGGAGGCTGAGGGGAGACCTTATCGCTCTCTACAACTACCTGAAAGGAGGCTGTAGCGAGGTGGGGGTCTGTCTCTTCTCCCTAGTAACAAGCGATAGGACGAGAGGAAACAGCCTCAAGCTGCGCCAGGGGAGGTTTAGGTTGGATATTAGGAAAAACTTCTGCACCGAAAGGGTAGTCAGGCACTGGGACAGGCTGCCCAGGGAAGTGGTTGAGTCCCCATCCCTGGAGGCATTTAAAAGATGTGTAGATGTGGTGCTTAGGGACATGGTTTAGTGGTGGACTTGGCAGTGCTAGGTTAATGGTTGGACTTGATGATCTTAAAGGTCTTTTCCAACCTTAACAATTCTATGATTCTATGATATAAGACATATATTCTGCTCATATATGAATATAGCAGTGACTGCAATATTAGGTGACGCTTCTTCTGGAAACACAGCCCTGAGCACCCCCACTCTGACAGCTGGGACAGGGGAAGACCCAGGACAAAACCAGAGCCAGGCTTTGACACAGGGACTTTCAGGCTGGGTCTCTGCTGCGGGGCTTGTTTTGGTCCTTCATGTAGCCCCCTGCCATCCCGCTGCCACAGCGGCCAGGAGGTTGACCAGGAGGTTGACCAGGAGTCGATGGTGACCCTGGGCCTCTCCTGGGGTCCTGGTTATCTGCCACAAGGTCTGACAGCACCTGCAAGCATCCGGAATGGGGTGAATTGTGGTGCGGGATGATGCAGAGGGCTAGCGACCACATGGGATTCAATGAGACTTTCCCATGAGGGCCAGCATGGCCCAAGTTTCTAATACGCGCCACATTTCTTGCACTACAGCCATGGTGACTTGAGGTGGGAGATGCTGCTGGCCTGGGTGGAAGTCCTATCAATATGGGTCACACCAGTGATGGGGCCGCTGCAGGGGCTGGTAAGAAATCCTGGGCTCTGCCCTGGCCTAAAGCACATGGCATCAGATGTGCATGGCAGTGTGAAAAGCCATGTCTAAGCCTCTGAGTCCTGGTGTATGGGATAAAACTGTAAGCATATTTGCTCCTGCTGTGTGGCAGCAAGGAAAGGAATAATTTGTTTTGGCTGCCTCTTGGGAACTAGTCTTTAAATTAGTATTTCTTCCTAGTGTTTATCCCAAATGCCTCTTAGCACTTTGGTTGTTTCAATTTTCCTGCCTTCAGAAAATCCATCTGAAAATATTTGAAAAAAATACTGCAAAAGCTCTGACTTGCTCCTTTCAATTTAATTCTCTTATGCCATTTGATCCAGCAACTGCTGCATTTTCAAATCTCCTTTTGTTTATGGATTAGTTTTTTGACTTTTGTTTTGGTTTGTTTTTTTTCCTTTTCCCTGTTCCCTTCCCATTAATTCACACAATAGGAGCAGGGTTTTTCCCAGCTCTACGAATTCAGCATGATCAGATTGAGCATCAGTTTGGCCCTTGCTAAATCCAATATGCTTGAAGCCTCCTGAACCAGTGGAGCCCCTCTCTCCAGCTGGCCAGTGAGGGTGGATTCAGGCACAGTGGTTTTGGGGAAACAGTCTGGAAACCAGAGCTCATCTTATCCAAGAAGGAGGAGGCAAGACAGCGTGAGGTGGTGAGATGTTGAAGCCTTGATGAAAGCTAGAGGGTGGGGAGTTTCTTGGGAAAGCAAAAGGAGGGTGTCCCTGTGTGTGCCTGCCCAGGTGCCCCCACTTTGCTGGCAAAATGTATGTATTTTTTCCTGGGATGCCTGGTGAGGCTAGAAGAACATCCCTTTTTTCAAACCCTTCCCAAAGACACATCGAAAAATGCAGGTGCATTCTCATTCAGAGAGTTTTTTATTGTTGTTATTATTTGTAATGTGGTAATGCACTGGAGTGTAGAAAATGCTGCTGCTGTTGGAAGTAATTTCAGTTGAAGCTCTTAATGCTGTTTTGTGCTTGTAATAACGCATTAGCTCTGATCTGTGTTAGCTTGTTCTGAAGCTTAATGGGAGTCATCTTTGAACATATCTGAGAAGCCATCAAATCCTCTTTTAGCTAAAAGTCAAGCAAGCTCCTTGGAGAGCAGTTTGATGGGATTGCTACTAATGTCAGCCTTAATACTCCTCCCCCATTAAGGTAACCTTGCCGAGAGGTGGGGCACGTCCTGGGGGTGTTCATCTCAGGAGCCCACTCAGCATGGGAGATTGTGCCACCACCTGAAGCTCTGCCCAGCTGGTGTGCAAACCATTGCTTATGGCATACTTCTGGTGTGGAAAAGTAGAAATATGGTTGCTAGATTTCAATTTCTGACTGCACTTGGGAGCTATTCAGAGGGGAGGTGGGACAGGATCCTGCCAGCTTGCAGATGGAAACTAAAATGCTGCTCATATGCCCCACGCTGGCGGCCTCTGAGCTGAACAAGTACTCGTGCCATCACCTCCAGCGCCAGGTGAGTGATTTGGGAAGGGACACCTCTACCCTGAGGTCCCCGATGCCCAGGAGCCTTGAGGGACCTTCTGCTCCCTGGTCAGGCACGGTGTTTGCAGGGGAGCTGCTGGCATTTCCGAGCATCACAACTGTGTGGCCAACACATCTGTGACCACTGCAGGACCCCCAGAGCCATGCAGTCAGTGGGCTGCTTTTGCTGTGTAGCCTCACGGCATTCATAAGGCTTTTCAGACAAATCAAAAGAGAAGATTCCTGCCCTAAATGAGCATGGTGTCTACGTTAGAGAAAATGATAAGGGATAAACATAAAAGGAAAATCAAAGGATTAAAATCCATGAAAGTTAATAATCTGAATATATTCAAAGATCTGGGCTAAAGAAGGGAGACAACAAACCATGGGTGGAAGTCAAAGGCCCTAATAAGACAGAGAGTTACCATGGAAAAAACAGAGCCATCTGTTCCAGCTGAAAACAAGAGCAGAGATGGCTTTCATGAATAGTCTTCTCCATCTTCTACTCAAATTTCAAAATGCTGGCTAAAATGTTTACCATTGGTTTAAATGAATTTAGGTAGTTAAAAAAAGGAAATTTAGAATGTGATATTTAAATGTAACCAATTTTTCTCTTATCAGTTTTAAATGTAAAAAAAGGTTAGCCCATCTTGAGAGTTACTGTTTCATGATGTGGCAAGAGTGGTGTTTGACTTTGGGCCCAGGTTTCCACAAGGAGAGCAAGAGCAGAGGTAGGAGTGAACTCTTGGTCCCATGGAAGTCACTCATGTATAACCTCACTGATTTTTCAGGTAATAGGGTCCACCCACGGCAATCATTGCCCCTGCAAAACGCAATTTTCTGGTAAATATAACATAGCTGTAGCGCCAGTGCCCCAGAATGCCGTCTGGGGTTAAGCCACCTCATCCTCTCCCATGCAGCACCCCTTGCTTTAATGGGCATCCAGGTCTGGGTACAGGAGGAAGCCCATGAAAGTGGAATCGTTGATGTTGTCGGCGTAGACGCCGTTGTTGTCCCCCTCCCCATACACCTGAAGCCAGACATCGTCCCCAGCACTGAGGTGCAGCAAGATGGAGCCACTCGCTTGGTCAACATTGTTCTTCTGGAACTGGTCATAGGTGAAGATGACTGCCTTGCCCTTCTTGTAGAGGCTGACCTTGACATCCGACAGGTAGACTGTCAGGTGGTAGGCGAAGTAGTATGTGCCGGGGATGCTGCAGACGAACTTGCCGGTGCTGGCATCGTAGTGGCTCTGCTCGTTGTAGAAGATCTTGCTGAAGCGGATGGGGACGTTGGGGTGGGGGACTCGCTCTGTCAGCCCCACACTGAAGGCGGAGCGGTAGATGAAGGAGCCTTCACCCTTCTCCCCTTTCTGCCCTGGGTATCCGGGAAATCCTCTTGGTCCTTCCTGCCCTGGGATTCCTATTTCACCTTGGTCACCTTTGGGGCCTCGCACACCTGGAGGACAGAGTGGGGACAGGGAGTTGTTTGCACTGTGCCGGCAGCTGCTACCTGCCAGACTGAAACGCAAAGGGGGCTGTGGCATGAGGATCTGCTCAGCAGTATGGAGGAAGAGGTGTCCCCTGAGGAAAGGCTGGATGACCTCAACACCCCCCATGAGCTCAGCCAGCAAGTGGAAAGCCTGCTCACTCCCCTGGCTGTGTGCAGAGCTGCTGAGAGCAGCATGTCTGAAAAAACATCATTAACTGGAAAAACAACCACCAGACCAAACTCCTTGACTTGGGTTGTGGAATCTCCATCCCTGGAGATATTCAAAAGCCATCTGGACAAAGGTTGGGCATGGACCTACCAGACATGACACCTGCCAGGGCTGGACCTGAGGGCTGGGGCTGCCCACAAGCTCCAGCACTGACATACCCCCTGCTCCTCACCAACCTTCCTCTCCTTTCTCTCCCTTTTGTCCATCTTTTCCGTCTTTGCCGTCCCGGCCGGGGAGCCCATTGTGGCCAGGGTAGCCGGGCGCTCCTCCCATCCAGTTGGCACACGGCGTTTTGGGGTCAGGCTGGACCTCCTCGGCAGCCACCTCTGTGCAATGGGGGGCCACCAGCAGCAGCAAGCAAAGGAGGAAGCCTTCTGGGCCCCTCATCGTCAGTTCCTGATGTGGACAATGGCTTTGTTAGCTTTAAAGGTTAATAGGAAAAAAAAAAACCATGAAGAAAACCCCACCCTTGAATAACGGAGAGGCCCAGAAGACTAAAGTTTAAATCAACATGTCTGAAGGAAAGCAATTCTGCTCGCCCCAAGGGCCCCTCTGCATCCAGCGTGGTGCTGGCGTGAGCTCCACGAGCCAAGTCGGAATGGGGCTCCTGGGAGCCGTGTGGACCTCAGCCCAGGAGCACATCTAGTGTGGAGAGGAGCACATGCCAGAGTTACTCCCCTGGCGCTGGTGGGCTCTTTGCACAGGCACAGATGCCGCTCCAAACCAAGGACAGCAGATGCCAGGGTATCAGTGGCCGATTTCTTCACAAAGCTCTGCTCAATTAGCCACGATATGCTCTAACTTCTGCCTGGCTGAGTGAGCAGCTGATTGGAAGTACAGGTCTGGCAGAGCCTGCCTCAAAACCTCAGAAGCCTCTAAACCACCTGCTCAGCTTATCGCTGCGCATACAGCCCGCTAACCTGAGCCTACCTAGTGTGAACAGAAACTACAGCCAGGCTTTCCATCTCCTCTGAGTGACTGTATGAAATATTATGATACTGTTTTTTTCCACCCAAATTATGTTTTTGGATTACAGGAAGACAAGTTGCAACAGTGTTTAGGCATTGTAGGATCATATTCTTCTTTAATCTAGTTGCTTTGCTAGTCAGAGCAATTAGTGAGGTTCCCCAGAACCAGGTCGGTGGTGACACCCTACGGCCAGCCTGGGGCTTTGTTCCAATGCTCCCAGAAATCAGTGGGACCTTGGTGGGCTTTGGGTCAGGCTTTTAGGAAACACATATTTTAAAATTACTATTGTTGTGTGATGCTGCTCCCCGGGAAGAGATTATACCCTGGAACAATAAAGGTATCCTGGTATGAGGATTGTAAGTGGCATAATAGGCAATAAAAAGTGAATAACAGCATGGCCGTTAGAGTCTCTTAGCTCTGTAATTTCCAAGAAAAACAATATTTCAGGGCAATTCCTTTGCAGGGTTGATTTTCCTAGGTAAGCTATTTAAATGTCATATTTTAAATAATGTCTTATTAACTCTTGCAAAATTGCTTCAAGGGAAGGTAAATAACAAAGAGGTTACCATGATTTCAGTTTTTGCAGGATATTGAGGGGGCTTTGAAGAAAACCTCAAAGCTGTGCTTAATGACTTTGGTGGGCAGTACCTAAGCACATAAAATCAGGGAACTCCTAAAACCCTGCCCGCCCTGCTGGGCTCCGGCAATCCAGCAGCCACATGGCACCCTGCGACAGGGCCGTGGCCCTGGCTCGAGGCAGTTTTGGGGCTGAGGGTGCCATGGGGTCCTGCGACCACAACCTGAACTTTGGGCAGTGTTCCTGCATCTCTGTGCTTTGGGAAGTGAAATGCCCCTTTGCAACAAGGGATGTAGCGAACGTCCATGAACCAGGGTGGACAAGTGAAACAGCTGTCTATAAATCCTAAAAGTGGCTTGGTTTGGCAAGTGAGGGTGTGCATATTTGGGCACACTGTGACGTGGCCACTTTGCCATGCCCCAGTGGACGGCACTAAGCAGAGGGACCCCTGTCCCCCAACCTCGGTCCCTTCTGGCTTGGCTACGTGCATGCACCCCTCCAAAATCGGCACGGGCTGTCTGGGGGCATCTAACTGCGTGAAAATACGCTAGTGTTCAAAACAAATCTGCCTCAAAATTGCGTTTCTTGAGCTGTGTTGTGGTGATTTTTGTTGGAGTTAGTTCCGCTTTCTCATATGCTGCCTAGACCTCAAATAATCATTAAAATTTTAGTGATGTGTGCCTCAGAGCCAGGTCGTCTCCTGGCGCAAAATAAAACCCTCCTTTAAGGTTAAAAGCGGTGTGAATTTGAGGCAGCCCAAAGCAGGGCTGCAGGGAGCTTTCCTGGCAGCCGCCTCTCCAGCTTGCTCTGAAGGGCTCGAAGCGATGCCTGTCCCACAGCATCCCTTGGCGGCTCTTCACTACGGATACGTTACACAATCTAGTTTTCTCCTTTCTAATAAGAAAAGTGTTGTGATATGCAAATAGAAAACTACTTCTCTTGCTACAGTTTGACTCAACCACAAGTGGTTTGCTTGTTTGAGATATGAAGCAGTTCTCTGGCATAACTATGTCTTACAGGGGGAAAGTTTTCAGTTGCCTTCTAGGTCTGAGTTTAAACTCTGGTTTAGGTATGATATACCTTTACTATAACTTTCCCATTTCTTTTTATCTTTCCATCTGATGCTTAGCAGCGTAACATGAAATAATCTGCTATATTTGAATGTCAGTTGTACCTTTCAGACAAGTAATAGATGAACTAAGTACTCTTGGTGGCTTTTGGTTATTCCCATGGCAGCTACTATATTAAAAGCTTAATGCATTATATGAAGCTTATTCATGTATCAGCAGAAATCAGCATCTCATCCATAAGAACAATGCCATTCATAAGTGCTACATAGTGATTCAGAATTTAAATTTCACATAACGCTATAAAAATATTACGTATTTATATATATATTTAAAAACCCACACCTCTCTGCACAAAACACAGAACAAAAAAATCCATCTGTTTTCCAACACCAGTGTTTTCTTCAGAGGGTATTAACCAGGGGTTTGGCTTATGTTGATCTTTTTTTCTTTTTGTAATTACTTGTAGCATAGTTTTTGCTGACATTCCAGCGGTGACTTGCTCCAAGGAGCTCGCACCTTAAATCTGGGTCGTGCAGGTTTCTGGCAAGGAGCTGATACGTCTCAGGGAGATTTGGGGCAAGCCCAATCTTCCCAGGAGTCTTTGAGGAAAGAGGTGAATTGAAAGGTGCCAGTGCAGTACTCGCTGTTACAGCCATGTGGTTTTTCACTGTTGTTCCTGACTACTTTTAATTTAGAAGTTTTGATCTCTAAATAGTGTTTCCAAAAACGGGAGTATGAATCTAAGGGAGATCGGCTATTCTTGGTTTAAAATACTTGCTGGCTATTCTGAGAATAACTCTAAGAAAGGAAACTTCTTGTGAAGAGAAAAGTCTGTCTGTCTGATTCAGCCCAAAAGAAGAGAAAATCCTGAACTTAGTAAAAGGAAAAAAAAAATTATGCTTACCAGCTGCTTTGAGTCCTAGTTGGCTTGCTGCAGTCTCTTTAGAAATGAAGTCCGGCTACCACATCGCTTTCCCTAAGGGCACGGAGAGCTGTCAGCTCAGACACTGCATTTTCCATTTGCTATTGCGCATGCTGACCTAAAAGTTGGATTTTCCCATTAATTTTTCCTGGCCATCACTTACTTAAGTTTTGGACCACTTATATAATCCGGTCACACTGGGGTAGCTTGTGAAGATAGCCTTAATGGGGAAAAGATGGGTTTGGGAATTTGATAGGCATTGAAGGAGAAATGGTTTGCTGGAGAAGCCCAAGTGAAAGCCTGCTTGTCCGGGGCTGGGCTTGTACAGCACAAGCTGCTGCTCCGTGTAAATTAGGAAACGTTAGCAGCTGATGGAGAAAGTGTGTCTACAGCCTTGCATTAGCGTACTCAAATGGTTTTTTTTCAACGTGTTAGTAAATGAATTATTGTGTGAGAAGTTTTGGCTTCTCCTTTTAACGGCAAGAGCCGTTCCTGCCTGGAGGGTGCTGCCACACCAAAGAAGGGCAAAGCTGCCCGAGGGGAAGGGCAGCGCTGGGCGAAGAGTTTTGTCTTAAGCCAGCCAAGCACATGCCAGCACTGTTGTAAATCATCAAAGTAATTTCAGCCCTATGGATGGCTTTCAACCTATCACACGTTTTTGCTTTAGGTCAAAACAAAGTATTTTTTTCCCCTGTGTCTCTTTTCTTCCAAAATGGAGGTTGAACCTTGGAGAGCAGAGGCTTTCCTCTCCAGCCGCTCCAGGGCAGTTCAAGGTTAGCTAGGTGGGACCTTGGCAAACCTGGGCTCGCAAAATTGGAAAAAATAGTGTGATGTGTGTTGTTGCAACCAGGCGTGGGGAGCCAGTGTCTGGGAGCTGGTGTCCTTGGGAGAGGGGAAACTCATCCAAGTGAATGTCAGCTGGAGAGTATCCCGAAGTAGTGAGTTGTTGTAAAGACCTGGCTATCTGGAAGGACTAAAAGGATGTATAAATGATGACATAAATAATTTCTTATATGTAGAGCTGGGAGTCAGCAAGGGTGAATTTTGAAGTCCTGAAGAGAAGGGTGCAGAAGGGAGGAGCCGCAGGATGGCTGCTCACTGCCTGCCTTATTTTGGTCAAGCCCTTAGTCCAGCATTTGAAGAATTTGATTTTTTTTTTTTATTATGGTTTTTCCATGCAATGTTGAGACTTAAAACAATCCCTCGTGCAACCCCAGTAAAATATGACAGAGATCTAGTTGGATTTGTTGTTTTCTTCTAAATGTGATTTGCTACAGCCATGTGTGTTTGTGTGCATGTGATGCCAATATTTCTGTCAAAGTCTCGTGTCTGGAGCAATGAGTGGAGGAGCAGGATCTTGGAACTGAAATAAGAACTTTTTTTGCAATGGAGACGAGAGGTTTTCGCCTGCCTCTGCCCAGGGTGTGAGCAAAACAAGGCTGGTTTCCCTGCCAACTCTTGGCTTGAACCCCAAAATGCATGATTGGGGTATTTATTAGGCTGCCAGGATTTGAAAATTAGACCTGATGTGTTCAATAGGTAGTGCTGCAATTACCTCATGGCCTTTCAATTCAGTTGTTAAGAAAATACCATGGTGATAAATCTTTCAGTGGTCCATCAAACAGCCTCCCAACATTATTCTTGCCTCCCAGAAGAGGGGTGGAAGTTTATCTCTGGGGGTACAACCAGCTGATACAACCCCCGATGCACTCACTTGCGGTTATGTTGTCTTACACACTTGGTTTGCAGGTTGGTGCTGGCTCCTGTTCCCACTGCAGGGCGAGATATTGTACAATCCAGTGAGCTACTTCTGGCTGTGTGATAGGAAAACATCTAAAATGCTCTTTGC